TTTTCATTTTTTTGTTTATCTCTAATTTTTTATCTTTTTTTTTTTTCATTTGATTTATCTTTTGGTATTATTAAGTTATTTATTAAGATAATAGGATAATAATAGTAATAATAAAAAAAAAGTTAAAAAATAAATAATTTTGGCCATGAATGAGGTTGGCAGAATTGCATATGGATTCAATCTGCAAGGGATAAATGTTATGTTCTAGGATAATATGAAAATCTAGTTAAAAAAGTGAATCACAATCGAACAAAAACTCTTCTAACTTCTTTCAATAAATACACAGAGAGAAACACAGCAATAAAACATAGATCACAAAGAAACAAAGAAACAAAAACACACAAGAACAGAGAGAGATCACAGATCACCCATAGACACGAAAATAGTTAGAAGATGTTGGAAAATTTTTTTAGTTAAAAAGAAGATTTTTTTAGAAAGTTTTTTAGAAAATTTTCATTTTTTTATGAAATTTTCAACACTGGTTAAATTTTTCGATGAATTTTTTTGCGCTAATTGAATTTTTTGGCAGGTTTCCAAAATTCAATTGAAGATTTCGACGGAGGTTAAATTTTTCGATGAACTTTCGACAAACTAACCCAGATTTCAATGAGATTTTCAGAATCTAGTGAAGATTTAACCAAAATTTTTCAGGTTGTAGAGAAAGAGAGAAAAAAAAAAAAAAAAAAAAAAGAGGGAGGAAGGAAGAGAAATCTAAGCAAAAAGGAAATTTTGGCCTATTTATACCCAACCAAAATGACGTCATTTTGGCATTTAAATGGCCCCAAGATCCATGCCTTTTTATTCAGGTAACCAAACCCGTAGCGTTAACCTACTTTTGACCCATGTACCAGCTAATCCCTTCTACCGAGTCGAGCCACATTGAGCCACTAAACCATGTCCTTGGAGTTGAATTTTATGCCTGAAGCCGAGCTATGCCAAAGTCACCAAGCCAAGCCATTTTTATTTTTGGTTTTTTTTTATTATTTAGCTATTTTTTAAAATTTTTTTGCATGATTAAATTTTAGAAAAAAATAAAAATAATGGAAAAATAAAATATTTTTTAGAATAAATAATAATTATCCAATGATGAAATTTTTTAAAAATTTTAAATGGTAAATTTCTATAAAATTCCTATGTGAGAAATTTTGTCTAAATTTATCCCAAATGGTGGAATAATTTAGATAAAGTTTCAATATCAATAATTAATATTTATTTTCGATTCAAAAATAAAAAACAAAATGAAGAAAAATAGATAAATTAAAAATTTTTTATTGAAAATATTTGACAATTATCCAAGGATGAGATTCTTAGAAATTTCAAATGGTAAAGTTTTAAGAAATCTCTAGGTGAGAAATTTCTTTAAATTTATCTCAAATTATGGAAGAATTTAAATGAAACTTTAAAAAATACTTTAAAAAAAAAAACAACAAAAAAAAATTTCTAAATAGACCCAAATGGTGAAAATTTTAAAAGTTCAAAAGAGAATATGTTTTTAATTTGGCCTAAACGGTGGATGAATTAAAAATATTTTCAAGAATAAAAAATGATTAAACATTTTTTCAATGATGGAGCCTCTTCAAGAAAATAAATGAGATTCTTGAATACTCTTGAGATGAGAGAATATTTTTAAAAAATCTACCAAATTGATGAAAAATCTTAAAAGTTATTTCCAATATTTAAACATTAAAACTTAAAACCATTATAATCAAGACCTTATGATAAATATAAAATAAAATGGTACTATCTTTCGAATGAGCATGTAGGGGTAATATAAGCTTTCCCATATGTAACCGAACTTTTAAATCCTATTCTAGTTTGTAGACCTAAAACTATTCTTTTAGAGACTCTTGGTCAAGCTTAAGAATTCTTTAAAAATATAGATTTCTTAAATAGCTAATTACACCTAGTTAAAAAAAATATTAATGACGACTTCGTTTGTTAAGTCTAATTATAGATTTTCGGATTTATATGTTATGACATAATATTTTCTTGAATTCAAGTCTTATTAATAATATGAAATGATTCTTAACATTAAAACGATTTATTTCTCATAAACAAAAGAAATATTGAAACATTATACATAATAACAAAAAAAATTTCTCAAGTATAAAAAAAATAATAACAAAAAATTTTACAAAATTTCATCTAAATATTTCTACAAAGTTAAGAGATGTTCTTTCCTTAGAAATTATATAATTATATTTAAAAAAAAAAAAAAAAAAACCCGGCAGGTACGTAAATGTGAGAAACGGAGTCCCACGAGAGATTATTCACTCGTTACTTTTACCCGATGCCTAGTCGTCCATACAAAGACATCAGCTCAAGAGGGAAAGGGGACCGGGGAAACCGTAACTAGACCCTAAAAACTTTGGCTAGCAGGAAACCCATGCCTGGTGCATAAAAGATTACCTTTCTTTCTAACAACCGTTGTCTTTTTGTGCAATAGACAATCATTGTTTCTAACAACCGTAGTTTTTTTTTTTCTTTAGCAATCGATAGCGGTTGTTAAAATAAACGTAATCTTTTTATGTAATAGACTACAATTGTTAAAAGCAAATATAATCTATTTATTACAGACTTTCTTTTTCCATGTAATAAATTACATTTTTTTAAAACGTAATTATATGTCATAACATATTACGTTTTTATTCTTCAAACATAATACATATGATAATTGTTATCAATTTCCATCAATCCACAATACTTTATTATAATATATATAAACAAAACTATGTGTTTCGCTGTATCGAATTGTCCTTTTGCTTTTTAGTACTCTAATTCTTAAATTTGTCTGAAAGTAAGTGAGCAACTTAAAAATATATTTAATAAAAATTACAATTATTAAATCCTTAGAATATGAAATTTTAAAAGTAATTATATAAATTTAGGTTTAATATTTTTAATATTTAAATATTAAAAAATTGCATTATTAATTTCATTTATATTTTCCATAATGTCAATTTTGTTTGGTTTAAGACTCTTCGTGTCAATGTTTCCATGTGTGTCAAATTATATATTAGTCTATGATGTAATTTTTATGATATTAAAAGTTATAATACATGACAAATACCAATTATTCATAACAAAAATAGGATAAACTTCATATTTTGTCTTAAATTTTAGAAAACTTCAAGGAGATAAAAGTTTTTTATTCTCAACTATTTTCACTCTTCTTGATATTGTTGTCAATGTTAGATTTTGAATATGAAAAAAAAAAAATAAATATAATTTAGATTTCGAATATGATTATGTGAATTAAATATAAAAGTCACGTTATGAAAAAAAAGATTTGTAGGAAGGAATCTATTTTGCGAAGCAAAAACTCCTATTAGGTATATTTAAAAAAGTTTCTTAACTTTATTATAAAATTAAAAAAATTATACAACAATATATTAAAGGGAAGTAAAAAAAAAAAAAACTAACATATACATATTTAAAATAAGGAAGGAACAACAAATAGTGTAAGTATCAACTAAAGATGGTTTTAATTAATTTCTTTTTCTACTGATTTGTTCAAAATCAAATTAGTTAATTAAATATTAAAATAAACCAATGCTAAGTAGAAGCCCGCATTTGAATGCAGAGTATAATAAAATTATATAGTAATTTAAATATTAAACAATGAAAAGGAGAACAGGAGTAATATATTGATTTATATTATTAAAGTAATTAAATATTTATATTAGCTGATTTCAATTATGATGAGATATCAATTTTATTCAATTTTTTTTTATGATTTTTATTAGTGTTTTTGGTAAATTTGGATGTTTCGCGGTTTTGTTAATTAATTTTTCTGTGTTTTAATATATTTTTTAAATAATATTTATTATATTATTTAAAATAAATTAAAAGAAAATATGAGAATTTTTTTTGCTGATTTTTATCTTAAGTAAGGGATTCTTTTGTTATTAGTAGTAAATAAATTAGTAATTTTTTGCGGCGATAAAAGTTTCTTTTACTTCCATAGCCTAAGTTTGGATTGAAAAAATATATATATTTTTTGTTTTTATAAAATGAGAAGTGTCAAATGTGATGTAAATTTAATTGGTTTTTAATTGTACTGACGTGACAATGAAAAATTTACTATACAATGAAATGAATAGCTGATTTGGTATTGAGATGAACAACAAAAAATTGATTTGACAGTAACAATTTTTATAAATAGGTATATATAATGTAATTTAACAAAGTGTAATATATATATATATTGTCTTAAAATATTTATCATATATTGACTTTCATAAAATTAAAAAAAAATTATTTTAATGCATTTAATATTAAATTTTAATAAATAGGTATCGATAATGTTGATGTAATTTGACAAAGTGTAATATATATATATGTGTGTATATTCTCTTAAAATATTTATTATATATTGATTTTTATATAGTTTTAAAAAAATTTATATTTTTATGAATTTAATATTAAATTTAAAATTTTTTATAAAATTAAAATTTCATGATTTATAATGTCAAAAAATAAAATAATTTTAAAATATAAAAAATAAAAATTTTAAATATTAAAAAAAAGACATAATTTTTAAGCCCTCCATAAAAATTGATAAAAAAATGAGACAGAGATAAGATAAAATTATATTGACAACCCAGCAATAACAATAGAGTTTTAGCATTTTCTCTATATATCCAATTATATATATATATATATATATATGTATGTGTATATATGGATGTGCTTCAGTACTACTTACCTTACGTGTCTTGTTTGTCATCTTTCTTTAATTAATATAAGGGAGTTAATTGATGAGCATGAATTTGGATTTGTCTAATAAATTGTAGGATGCAGCCGAAGACTCGTTCCAAACTGACATAACACATTACCTTTTTGTTCACATAATAATTAATACATCCAAAATTAACAAATAACGTAGAGGTAAAATAGGATAAAATAAAACTGTAGTTTGCTAAATTTGGAGTAGTATCTGAACTATAAACACCATTCACCCACCTCCCACATTCTTCAATCGGTTGCAAAGTGCAAAAGCAAAACTCCACTTCAAAGGCGTGTTTGGTGAATAGTAATTGTTCCTTATTTAATCTTGCCAATCACGCCAATAATGGACATGAAGAAGGCTGCCTGCGTTGTCCTCTTTGCCGCCGCCTCAATGAGCGTCGTGATGGCTGAGGTTACTGCCCCTGCCCCTGCCCCAACCGCTACCAGCGATGCCTCTGCTACCTTCCCAGTTGTTGTTGGTGCCTCAATTGCCTCACTCATCGCATATTTCTTGCACTAAATCAAGACACAATTGGAAAGAAAATGTAACCACAGAGAGGGGAAATGTAAAAGGGAAAAAAAAAAAGATTAGAAGGATGAGAGAGAGATAAGTTTTATTCTCTTTCCTCTCTGCTCTGCTTTTTCTTTCTCTCCCCTTTCATCTTTTCTGTTGGCGTATTTTCCGAGATAAGATTAAACAAATCTTTTCCAAGCAAAAAAAGAGCAAAATTTTGCAAGGACATAAAGCACAAATTTGGGGGTTTTTTTTTTCTCTTTTTTTATCATTCTTAAATTTGTCTTAATGGCAGCACAAGAAAACCACCAACAAAGTTGTTTAAACTAGCTTTGTTTCAAAAACTCACATTAATGGGAGAAGTTCAAATTAATACCACGCGGCAAGGGACCTTTGCATTTAACAACCCTTGCATCAAAGATACAACAAATCTTTTGTTTTTGAGAGGATATAGTAACTCTTGGCAAAATAAACATCGTGGTGAAATGGTATAAAAGATATGAAGAGCTTTTTACAACAATGCGAACAAAATGACAAGGAGTACAGAGAATTGCACGACGTCGTTTTTAGGTATAGTAGCTCAAAAACAATACAGAGGGCAAGTGAAAGAGGTGACGTAGCAGGATTCGGCCTTTCATATGCTTTATATACATAAAAAATATTATATATATATTAGAATTAAACATTGCAAGATTTTTTTTTTCAAATTATGTTTTAAATAAGAACAAAATATAATTTTCATATCAAATTTTGATGAATAATAATATATAGATAAATATAAGTGTTTTTTTTAGAAATAAATAAATATTTAAAAAATATAAATAAAATAAAAAACAAATATAAATACATATTCTCCTTGGACTTTAATCTCATTGGTACACCTTCTGTTTCATTATTTCTCTATATTGTTTTTCTAAGAGAGTTGTAAGCTCATGAGGGAGCTTAGTAAGGGAGATGAGGGAAAACGAAATTTAAAAAGTTGCATGTAAAGAAAAATAATAGAGAGAAAAGTATGTGAAAAAGAAAAAAGATATAAAAAATAAAAGACATTTGCTAATATACCAAGGCTAAAGCATAACACAAAAAACCTTACTTTTACCCAAACATAATTTTAACAAACTTCATCTCAATTATCCTGATTTAAAAAAGTACACCAATTAGATCATTATGAATCGAAACTCATTGGATACATATTATTTTATCTTCTTTAACTTAATTGATTTTTTTATTACAAAATTTATTTAATAAAAAAAGTAAAAATAAAAAGTATATAAAAAAGAAACAAAGAAACAAAAAAATCAAAAGCTATAAAAAAGGAAATAAAAAAACCAGATGGAGGTATCACGTGAACATTTGAGATGGAGCATAATACTTTAAATCTGTCTTCGATCGAACCCAATTTTCAAAAAAATATCTAGAACCTAATTTCAAAATTTTTTTAAAAACACTTATGTTGTATTGGTATAAATCGATGCTAATTGTATATGATTATTTTATTATCCATACATTAACTGATTTTTTTATAAAATTTTAATATACAATAAAATTAAAAGAATAAATTTGAAAAAGTAAATAAAATCAAATAAAAATAAAAAGTAAATTTTTGAAAAAAGGGAGCGATACCATGTGGACATCCTATCTTTCTCCAATTCTCTACACAATTAAGTATATAGATCATAACTAAGGACTCTAACCCCTCCCCTCCCCCCACCCCCCCCCCCCAAAAAAAAGCAAATAGTCCTAAAAAAAGAAAAAGAAAACTCAAAGGTCTTCAACAAAAAAAAAAATGACATAAAAAAAAGGGAGTGATGTGAACAATCCCATGGCTCTTTATTTTCTACAAAATTCATTGAATGAGTATTGAATTAATAGGAAAAGTACCCAAAGCTCAAGTATGTAATTTTTTAAAAATATTTTTGGGTAAATGTTCAAAACGAATATGAATGTAATAAACATTTTGGAGACCACTATAAGAATTTTTTAAATTTTCAAAATCAAAACGAGAGGAGTTACCACAATATTTTTTGGTTAAATGTGATTGGCCACCTAAAAAATTTATTTTCTTAATAAAATTTTAAAATTAATTAAAATTTATTAAAAAGATAATTTTTCATTTGGACTACGAAAACAAATTTAGGTTCAAAAATACAAGTACATGTGGGAAAAGGTTAGTGCCTCCACAAAATAGCACAAACTAATCATATGTTATCCTTTAGTAGTGATAAACAATTGTCTTAATTTTAATATTTAAAATAATTTCCTTAATTTTATTTCTTTTTGTAAAAATCTTTTTAAAACTTTTTATTTGGGAATAAAATAAAAAATTTTCATTTCAAAATATCTTATGAATTATCCAATATCTAAGCGTAATTTAGAAAAAAAAATTCTTTTGCTTGAAATTCTCACAATAAATTTAGGAAAAAAACATTTTTTTCACTTAAAATTCTCACAATAACTTTTGAAATCTAGCATAATATTCTTTTATAAAAAATAATTATTGAGGATCCCTCTAATATCTAGGCAAGGTCTTAAAAATTTTTTTTACTTAGAAATATTAATTTTTTATTTCTTAAAATTATTTTTAAAATTTTTTATTTTATCATTTCACATTTATCTCCAACTATGATGAATGTAATGCCATATATGAAATAAATGATACAAATAAAAATAAAACAATGCAAATAATCAATTTTTTTTTCAAATCTTTCATTTTATATTCCTCATCATTATTTCTTTGATAAAAACCTTTAGTGATAGAAAATTTTCTTAATTCCCTAATATCTAGGTAGAATTTAGGAAAATTTATCATTTATTTTAAAAAGTTTTCATAATATTTTTTTAAAAATATAATAATATTCTTAAGTAAATAATGAATATTTAAATTTCCTCCAATATCTAGGTAGGATTTTCAAATTATTTTTCTTTAGAAATACTATCATATATTTTATTTCTAAAATCCTTTTTCACTAGTAATCTAGAATAAATTATTTTTAAAAATATTTTTGATGCTAAACAAAAATTAAACATGTATAATAGCAATGTAAAATGAAATAAGAAGAAATTATACCAAACAAAATTCTTGGCTTAAACTCTAGATAGATCAAAAGTAAGAAGAAGGGCTAAATCTAATGGGCGTCTTCTTAATCAAGCTTAGTCTGGGTCGGGCTTATTTACGAATCGAGCCAAATCAGGTCAAGTCAATTTTGACCCATTCTCTCTTTTTTTTCTTTTTTTTTCTTTTTTCTCTCTTCGTTTTCTTTAACCTAGAGCCTCTTTTTCTAGCGATTTTTTGTTGCCACTCCCATCGCCAGTGCCACCATTAGTTAGTGTCTTTTTCTTCCCAAATCCTTACTAAATGCCCTGCTTAAGCCTTCGTCATAAATTTATCAAAATCAACCCTTAAAGTCCTAGATCAAAGGTTGAAGTTCAAAATTTCAAATCATTAAAAATCTTTCCTTCGTCGTGCTATTTCTCTGACACTGAAGTATGTCTTTCTCCTCCCTTTGATTTTTCCTTTTTAGTATTCTCGATTGCCCTAAAGTGCCCTCACCATCATGAGTCAATTTGAATCACCACAACATTGGCATCATTCACCACTTTAAAAATGATCACTTTTTGTTTTCTTTTGCAAACACGAACTAAATCTGCTTAAGATGCCTCTAATTCCCAAAAAAAAAAAAAATCCCTTATGCCTGAAACACTCACACTCTTTGGATTTTGTTTGTGTTTTTTGTTATATGTACTGACAACCTTTGGTGTTTTTATGGTACTTTTGTTATTGTGAAATGATGGCAATAGAGACTGGGTTATAATGGTTTTTTGACTACCGGTTCAATGGTTATTGTTGCTTCATTGTTTCTATTTTTTGGCAAGGCGTTGCTATGTTTTTTTATGGTGGTTTGGGTTTTAGCTTATTGTTGTTCTATTGGCTTGATTATGCGAAGGTTGTCGATGGTGGTTTTTGGATATGCAACAATGTTGTGGAAATTAGTGGTGCTTGTAGTTTCGGCAGTAGACATAAACGGTGATTATGGCTAGCAATGTTTTTTTTTTTTAAGGTGACTATAAGTTGGTGATTGCATAGGTAGTGGGAATCTTGAATTAATGGTGGTAGTATAAGGTGGCTAAATGGGTTTGTTATGGTGTTTACTGGGTTGTTTAGCCAATAGTGTTGTGGGTGATGAAGATATGTATTGATGGTGGATTTTATGGTCACTAAGAATAGAAAGTAGAATTAGGAACTCTATTAGTTTTTGTAAAATTGTTGGGATTTTTCTTCTATGAAAATTGGCTTTGTACTATGACAATTTTAGATTCTTGTAGAACCATTGCTTTAATAGAAAAGCATGAAAAGTTTTTTTTTTTTTTTGATACAAGGCTTTTACTAAATTCATGTTAATATATCCATAGGGTAAAATATGAGAGGAAAAAATATAAAGCTAAAAATGGTAGTCATGGAGTTGAGAAAAGAGAAAGACCATTCAAGGAGATGAGAAAGTGAGGAGAAAGCTGCTGCCATGACAATTGACCCACTCACATTTATCTTGATTTTTTTAAAATCTTTTATTTTTTTGTAATATTTCAATTAATTATTTAATCCTAATAAAACAAAATTGGGCCTTAAAAATTAATTCTGGACTCACATTAAACTTTGGGCCTTTTGAGCACCTAAATGACTAAATTTTGAATTGATCCAAATTGAATTTGGTTGAACTTTGGCCTATGCAAAAGATTTGAAAACAATTAATCCAAAACAAACACAAATAGGCTTAGTTATGCAAATTCAATTAAAGTGCTTACATTAGTTCAAATCAAAATGTTAAGATCAAGCCTAAAAATTTAACAAACTCGAATTGACTTGGATAGAATTAGGTATTTACAATGAACCATCATGTAATCACCAATATTAAAATCCACATCAACATCTAGTTTATTATCCACATTGCTTATTGCAATTTTCTTTGAATCTAAATATTTACATCACAAATATGTTAAGCAAAAGTTTCAACAAGTTCAAATGTGTGAAAATTAAGAGAACAAAGTCATAGGTGCACGAGGTTTGATTAAATTAATCACAAACAATTGGAAATTAATCATGCACTTAAACATAAAAATACAACAAATATTTAAAAGTTTAGTTCCCAAACAATAAAAGATCACACATTTATTTTGTTTTAATAACCATAGTAGTAACTAGAAGATAACAAAAACTACCTTTGAAAAACTATTGTTCAACCA